CAATGGCGCAGGGATGGCATAGGGATGGGACTGCTTTAGACCCCGTGTGATAAGGCCCTATAAAAGACACTGATGCTAGGAAAGATGGAGGGTAGCAGAAAGAGAGGAGGACTGCATGCCTGATGAATAGACTCAATCAGGAGGTCATGGTCCTGAATCTAAAAGACCTAAACAGAGCAGGTCATGGAGGTGTCTCATTCACAGGGTCACCATGAGTTGGGACTCAGGACAACTCGAGGACAGTTAACAACAACAACTAGGACTTTTGAGAGCAGCTTGGCCATAGAAACCCACTGGGTGACCTTGGGCAAGTCTGAGGAAGGCAAAGGAAAAAACCCTGGGGGGGGGAGGGAAACATTGTCAATGTGATAGGTTCACCTTAGGGCAGCGGTTCTCAAATAGTGGGGCGGGCCCCCCAGGGGGGGCGCGAGGCTCCGTAAAGGGGGGCCCGTTACGGCTGGAGAGAGGGAGATTGTCCCAGCGCAGCCCCAGTAGCAGCCCGACGTGCTCTATCCTGATTGGTCAAACCCACCCATGTGACTATTTACAGTCACGCAGGGGGGCGTGAAATTTTTTCTTCTTTCCTAGGGGGGGCGTGACAGAAAATAATGGAGAAGCACTGCCTTAGGGTCACCATAAGTTATCAAAGACTTCAAAGGCACACCACCACAACTACACAATCCTGTGCATGGCAGGGGTCCCAATAACTCAGCTGACCCAGAGGGAGTAGCTATGCTGGTGTTACTGAATCCAAAACAAAAGAGAGCCTCCTCCTGGTACCTTAAAAAAAATATCAGTGGAGCCATTTAGGGACTCTGATTTCGTGGTCCTGTCCACCAGAGACTACAGTGTTCTCCACACAAGTCTACTTTGGTGTGTGTCTCAGGGGGTCAAAAGGGGAGGCTTTTGGGGCAAAGTGACCAGACGTCCTAATCTCGAAGGAGGCCAAGGCACCACAAAACATAGGACAGCCAAGAAGCATGTAGGATGTGACCAAATAAAAGCTAAAAACGCTCATGGAAATGTAAATTCATGCTTCTTTGTCCTGCTCATAATGGATGGCATTTAGGAATTTCTCCCAGACAGGAGGCTGAAATGGAGGCCTTTGCAGACTGCCAGAAATAGTGCAAATTGAGTCCACTTTGACTGCCCTGACTCAGTGCTAGGGAATCATGGGAACTGTAGTTTATTGTGGCACCAGAGCTCTCTGACAGAGAAGGCTCAATGTCTCAGAAAAAAATACAGTTCCCATGATTCCCTAGCAATGAGCCAGGGCAGTTAAAGTGGACTCAATTTGCACTATTTCTAGCAGTCTGCAAAGGCCCAAATGTTTCAAAGTGGGACAGCAAAACTCAATGGCCTTCTCAGTCCTGCACAAAATGAAGGACATTCAAGAAAAATGTGGGGCATTACAAAACAAAAAGTTAAAAACACTCTTATAAATATAAATTTATACTTCTTCTGAGTCCTGGTCGAAATGGAGGACGTTTTGGGATTCCTCCTGGACAGGAGGCTGAAATGGAGAGAATACTTCCTTGAAAAGGATGATGCCTGGACACAATGATCTTATTCTCCCTATTTATAGTGAAGCTATGCTAAAAAGTAGACACTTTTTACAAAGTGGAATAGCAAAACTCAAATGTGCTTTTCAGTCCTGCTGAAAATGGAGGACATTTTGGAATTCCTCCTGCATAGGAGGCTGAAATGCAAGAAATGTCCTGGAAAAGGAGGACGTCTGGCCACCCTGATCCTATCCCCTAATTTGCAGCAAGGAAAGGTTAAAAAGGAGACAAATGTTTCAAAGGAGAACAGCAAACCTCAATAGGCTTCTAGGCCCTGCTCCAAATGGAGGACATTTAGGGATTCCTCCTGGACAGGAGGCTGACATGGAGGACACATCCTGGAAAAGGAGGGCGCATGGTCACCCTGATCCTATCCCAGCTATTTCCACAGAGGACAGGCTAAAAAGTAGACACGTTTTTCAAAGTGGGACAGCAAAACTCAATGGATTTCTTAGTCCTGCTGAAAATGGAGGACATTTTGGAATTCCTCCTGCACATGAGGCTGAAATGCAAGAAATGTCCTGGAAAAGGAGGACGCCTGGTCACCATGATCCCATCCCAACTATTTCCACAGGCTAAAAATTAGACACGTTTTTCAAAACTCAAGCAATGGCCTTCTGAGCCCTACTCCAAATGGAGGACGTTTAGGGATTCCTCCTGGACAGGAGGCTGAAATGGAGGACGAGGAAAACGCCTGTTTTGGGGTAGGAGGCCCAAGGGAAAGCGGGGTCTCCTCCCTCAGCCAGGCGCCTCCTTCTCCCGGGCGGATCCCGAGGCCACTTACCGGGC